TGGCGCATGATTGGATAAAGAAAGTTGGGCAAGTCGCTTCGCCTCTCTGAGCCTCAGTTTCCCCATCTGTAAAGTGAGGATGCCCACCTCATGGGGCTGTTACGACACATAATAGATGCCTGACAAATGTGAGCTCTTCATCATCCCTGTTGCTCCTAAGACCCCGGCCTCACACTCTTTCAGCCATCCTTCCCTCCATCCACCTGTTGACTCCTGTCTTGGGCCACCCGCTACCCTGAGCCATTCCTGCTGGCCGGCTTATTGCCGCCTAGAGATGCCCAAACTCTGGCCCCCAGCTAAGGAGGTCAGAAGGGGTGGGTGGATCACATTTCCAGCCGACCACACTGCAGGGTAGGTGGGAGAGACCCAGAAGGGGAGCTCTGTAATTACTCTCAGTTTACCCTCCAGCCCTCTCCTCACCCAACCCTATACAGATAATGTTAGGGCAGGAGGTCTAGGTGCCTCACAGCTGGCCCTGGGGCCAAAGATCCGGCCTGACTGCCTCCTTGGGTGATTCATAGGGTGTCAGGCTATTACTTGTGACCAGGACTGTTCCACAATCACACCCTACAGTTTCCCTCCTCCACACTTTTGTCCACATGACTGCCTCCCCCGCCGCCACCGGAAAGTCTTCCCCACTCCCAGAAAGTCTTTTTTTCTCCTTGCCCCCCTTTCTTGGAAGACTTTTTCTCCTTGCCCCCCACCCCCTTGGAAGCCTTGCTCGCGTCCCATACCTACCTTCTCAGTAAAGAGAACGACCAACACCTCCAAACCACTACCCGGCCCAATTAGGGACGAATATCCGCCAGCTTCTATGTGTTTCTACCAAGCAGGCCCCTGTTATGGCCTCACAAATAACTAAAGTTACCACAAAGCTCGAGCATGTACCAAATTCTGTCACCCACACGGTCCCATTCAAGCCCCACAATAACGCTGAGAAGTAGACTAATTGCCCACCCCAACCAATTTGCAGATGAGGAAACTGAGGCTCAGGGAGGTAAAACGATGTGCTATATGGCAGCTGAGCACGGAACGAACAGTGGCCGTGACTATGGCGTGTTCTCGTTATCGTTACTCAAGGCCACACAGGTCAGAAGGGCGGGGCCGGAAGACCACCAGGCCTGGCCTTGACTTCAGAACCCAAGGTCTGCCCCTGACATCTCACTGCCTCTCTTGGAAAGCAGAGGTGATGATACCCTCTCTTTCTCTCCAGTAATAAATAGGCGCAGTGCTGGCCTGGTCTGAGACCCTCAAGAGACTTTGTCCAAGTCGCGTCTATGCCAGCACCAGGCCTGGCACGTAGTAAGTGGTTGGTGCTTGTTGAATGAATGCATGTCTGAATTCTACTGTAAGCCTAGTTTCCTCAGCTTGGTTGTGACTGGTCTGATCCCCAAAGAGCCCATTCCCAGCCCTCTTCTCTCCAGCCATCCTCTGTGTCTGGAATGCTACCAAGCAGTCTGAAGTGAGCCCTTCTCACAGTTGTCCACCCCTGGGTCAGCTTCTTCTGACACGTGTGCCCCAAGGGCCTAAGGCTTCCTTCCTGAGCCTCTCCCTGTCTCCCACAGCCTGATCCAGGAGGAGGCATCCAAAACCAAGATAAGCAATAGCTGGGGGGGGGGGGGTGTCACTTCACCTCCGTCACCTCCCCTGAAATGGGGGTGCTCATGCTGCTTAACTTCACTGAGCAGTTGTGGACATGGAGAAAGCACTCGAAGCAAGAAGCAGTCGTCTGAAAGGAGGGAGGGATTAACAGGACCCCAAATACAAAGACCCAGCCGTGTCTGGTTTTAGGTTACCATTTTCCAGGGCAGAGTGATGCACAGCCATTGTCCCGGTACCCCCCTCCCCGAGATCCCCAAGACCGAGGCGCGCGGCCCCCACAGCCCCCACGGCACCCTGCATGGAGGGGCCGCCCGCGCTGTGGATAACTCACTGGGCTGCTTTCTCCCGGCGACCCCTCCTCCTTCAGCCTCATGCTTCTCATCTGTAAAATGGAGACCATGATTTTTGCTTGAGCTATCTCAGGGGGTTATTGAGAGGTGAAATGAGGAGGTAGATAAAGAGGCTTCGTTTCTTGCATCTTGCGCAGCCCGCCCAGCCCTCTCCCAGTCTTGAACCTCCTGCGTGGACCAGAGTCACTCTGTCTCTCACGCCTCCGGAGGCAAGATCACGGTCAGCAGCTTCTCTGAGCCTCACTGGAGGTGGGGGACTCAGAATCATCACAGCTTTTCCAACCACATCAAACTATGTCAACTGTGCCCATTGAGAGAAATATGCAAGAGTTCTTTGGTCCATCCCTCTGTGCCTCTCACCCAACCCAGGCAGGTGCTCAGCTCTCCAGATGCCAAAGGAAACACTCTCTACCTTCTTTGCCACTCACCCCAAGGCTTCTCCAATCTGATCTCACCGGGCCTCAGTTTTCAAATCTCAATATAAGAATAATCCCCTGATCAAGCTCCCAGTGACCCCCAGCATTCCCCGGTCCATTCTTGTCCCATCCTTTCTTACCATTCTTCCGTCCATAAGGACTCAGATGCACTCCCTTTGATCCTCCTATCTGCTGGGCCTCGCTCTCCCCACTGGCCTCCACTTCCTGCTTCTGACCCATTTAACAGAGTCGGGCTGAGGCTATCTCTCATGAATATGCATGTGGGATAATGAGGGCTTGGGACTGGAGGAGGATGTGGGGAGTGGTGTTCACCTAGCACCCTCCACCCGCTCTCCCCCTACCCAGCCCCCTACCAAGGCTGTCCTCCCCCCTCAAGGTGCATGGGAGTTTGGGGCAAAGGTTGAAATCATAGTCATAATCATAATCATAATCCACAGCAACCATTTTAAAGTGCCTACAACACGCCAGGCACCCTGCTAAGAGCATCTCCTGTAAGATGCTTTTAAGGTGGAAACCATTCTCCCCCTTTAACAGATAAGGACATTGATGCTCCGAGAAGTACGGCACACGTGAGCCATATGTAGAAGGTACACGGTGATTACATGCAAGGCAAGGACGGAACCCAGGTTTTGTCGGGTACTCCTAACCCCCGCCACACAGATGCACAGGACCAAGCCCAGAGCCCTCCCTGGTCGTGGGGTCACATTTGGACCTCACACCCCAGCAAATGAGCTCATAGTGGTCTTCGGTGGCCAAGGCTTTGGGAAAGGATCCAGGTACTGGAATCGACTCCCTCTGTGTGGAAACAGGGAAACAGGCAGACAGGAGTGTGCACGCAGTGCATGGTCCCACGTGTGCAGATGTGTGCATGATGCATGTGCGAGCATCGATGAACGCACAGAATGTCGTGCGTGCCTGGGCGTGCGTGGGACGGGGTGCCCCCGAGGCTGCTCGGTGTATGCACTGCTCTGCCACATTTGTCCCGTTTTCAACCAACACTCGGAGGGGGCCTGCCACGTGCTGGGGACTCCTGGAGGGACAGTCTGGTGGGCTTTGCACCCATACCCATATGGAGGGACCATACGAACTTTGCACCCATCGGTAACCCTCGGAAAGGATCTTTGTGGGAGGTGCTCTTTGTGGGGACGGGGCTAGGAGGTGAAAGAGAAGGTGGGTGAAAGCAGGAAGGGTGGGACACGGCAGGGTAGGAGCTGCCGGGGAGCCCCTGACACTTGCCACAAATGAGGAGTGAGGAGCCAGCCAGGACCTGGCATGGGCTCCATGAGGGTCACAGGTCTGAGGGGTCATAAAGGTCTCTGGATACCTTCCCTCACAGACATCGGGGGGTGCCGTGAATGCACATGTGGGCACCGTGTGTGTGTCTGTGTGTGTGAGTTTACACGTGTGTGCACGGGTGTTTATGTGCGGTGTTTGCTTGTGGAAACGCATACATGGAGTACACAAGTGTGCAAAGGGGACACGGGTGAATCATACACGGTGTGTGTGTGCACAT